CCAAATATCCAGCATATGAACCCCAAGTCAGATCTACAAACATAGACCCATAATAGCCTCCAAGAGGGGTCATCTGTGACGGTGACGGTGGCGGGGTCATAAAACCAGGTGAAGGCGGCGGTGGCATCTGGTAATGGAAAGGCGATGGTGGCATCTGGTAATGGAAAGGCGATGGCGGCATCATATATGGCTGCGGCATCATATATGGCTGCGGTGGCTGCTGGGAAGATCCTGCTGGTGCAGCTGAGGATGAACCGGAAGCACCTGCTCTCCGTCCACGAGTCGGGGGACGATGGTGCTATGTCGGTTAACGTCTCTATCGACGTCGTGGAAAGGTCTGCCCTCGTGTATCCTCGGGAAGTAGAAACGGTTTCCCGTTACTGTTGAACCACTCATAATAATCCTCAGCATACATCAAGAGGTCATCAAAGATGAGCTCTCTACGGGGAAGGCGCCGATGTCGATCCTCCCACAACACGACCCACCCATGATGCCTCACCAACCAATCTGTATATGTCTTGCCACGTCTGTCTAAGCTATGCAACTCGTCCATATTGCGAGGTGCTTCCGGAATTGGTTGAAAACAACCAAACTGCCGGAGCACGCGATCAGTGGAGTGCCACTCGATGGTCGCATAACAGATCATAGGGACCATCGCCATCCAAACATCTGATGGACCCCTCAGCTCAGGTGGGATCACCGCCCTCACATCATCAGTAGAATATGGCACCCATTCAAACTAAAACAAATAATATATAATTTTTATCAAAATAATAATCTAATTATATAACTATAATCTAAAATCTATTTTTAAACATTAAAATTCATACATGTGTGCCAGCCTTCTGATCGATTAGCACCCTAATTTTTTCTAAATCATCAGGTAGCTCCTGATGATTTTTCCTATCAGTAGACCACCTATTCAAGAAAAAAAATTTATTATACGTTGTATAAAATTATTAATATACAAAATCAGTTTTATAATTACCTCAGAAGTTGTGGAAATACGAATGGGTTCTTTATAACGGGACATAAAAAGGGCAATCGATACCATGCCCAAGACTGCAGCAGCAGGAGACATCCGCCGATAGCATTACGTCTGTAGTCAGTGGCTCCACACATCTCCCTGTATAGCAAAGCCAAAACTGTCGAGCCCCAACTGAATGATCTAACGAGATGAAAGTCGCTAAGATATCGCAACCACATGCAGTGAACTAGGTTGCGCGATTTTTCCGGCATCAACAACCCTCCTATCAGTTGTAGTATGCATGCCCGTGCATACATCTTAACCTCATCCTCAGAGGCTTCTGCGCTCAACTCCCGAAAATTGGCATCTAACCAATTTAACGGTATCCTACCTCCGATAAAAATTTTCGGGACACGTCTTAGACTATCCTGACACAAAGTAGTCCAAGAACCGGAAGTTATCCCCGATATCACATCTCCATCCACCGGAATCCCCAGGTGCATAGAAACATCCTCAAGTGTGATCGTGCACTCTCCGCACGGAAGATGGAATGTGTGGGTCTCCGGCCTCCACCGCTCTACTAAGGCAGAAATCAGGTATGACTCTATCTTATAGTGACCCTGATATCTACCTATGTAACCGAATCCAACCTCTACTAAATACGGCAAGACATGGCTGGGTATCACTAACTTAAGATTCCTAATAAAATGATCTAATACACGGTCCTTCTCCTAAAAATAAATAATTACAAAAATTAATTCTTAATTTAATAATCATGCATTAAATAAATCAACTAATTATTATTAATAATTTAAATTAAATTAAAACATTAAAATGTTACCGTATCAGCAAAGTGTCGAGATATTTAATTCTTAATCTAATAATCATGCATTAAATAAATCAACTAAATATTACTAATAATTTAAATTAAATTAAAACTTTAAAATGTTACCGTATCAGTAAAGTGTAGAGATATATGATTTCCATCCGAGCGAAGTAGACTGTCTTCCATTATATATCTGCAAAAGAATTATATTAGTAAAATATTAAATAAAGTAAATACATAATAGTAAAAATATTATAAAATATACCTTAAAAAGATAGAGTATTTGAGAGAAATTTAGAGAATTTGAGAGAATTTAGTGTGATAAAAGTGATTGAGGATTAGGGTATCTATAGGGAGGATGGGGACGTGTAGGGTTGGGTATTTAGGGGTATAGCGCGCCCCCTGCACCGCGTTATACCCCATGTGTCAGATACCTAGGTATAGCGCGGATCAAGGGGCACGCTATACCCACGTGGCGCCAGATCACCGTATATCGCGAGGCATGACGCGCGCTATACCCACGTGGCGCCAAATCAGCGTGTAACGCGATTCAGGGGGCGCGCTTTACTGCTATGGGTGTTAGATCGAGAAATATAATCTGACTGGTGTTAAATCGATAAATATACCGATCACCGGTGATTTATTGGAAAAATTGCCGTCTATATCTTTCTTTCTTTTTTACACACTTTTATATAATATTTAAATAAAATAATTATACACGAACTAAGTGACCTCGGTGATAAATGAATCATTGTTATTTTTTGAGATCCTAAGTTTGTGTACCATAAATGTCAGAGTTATGAGTATTTAATCTCAAATGGTTGAGAGTTATTTTTGAGCAGATAATGTCTTGTATTTACCTCAAAGTAACAAATAAATAAATAAAGTAATTACAAATTAAAATCAAACAAAAAAATTAATAGATTTGTATACAGTTTTTTTTTTCATTTTCATTGAAATTTTTTAATTTTGTTAGTTAATTAATAAACATTATTGGACCGACAATTTTGGCTCTCTTTGTCACATAATAATAAAATAATTAACAACTTGATTAATATTTAATCTAATATTGTTGTGGACGATTAATATCGAACCATATATTAGTACGTGCAATATTTTAGTTTGTGAATCAATCAAATGAAGCTGCTGTCGTTTGAAAGATTGAGACTCCATCATATATTACAAGGATTATGACAAAAATATGTTGCTGAATGTTATTTATAAAGGATGATTGTATGAAATAATTGAATTAAAAAAATGGAATAAAATGATTTATATATATAAATAAGTATATGTTAATCATGTCCGTTGTTAATAAAATTGTTATAAACTTAAAACATTCAAAAGTTTAAAGATTGTAATTCGGAGATGAAATTAGAATATTCAAAACTATATGAATCACTTTAGATGAAATTAAAACATTTAAAAATTTAGGGACCACTTAAAAATGAAAATCATAGTTGGAGTGCAATAAGCTCTTACACATTACATGTAGTTAAAATTAGTTAAATTTAAATCCTCAATTATTATGAAAAAAAAAATTTTAATATCTAATGTCATGATCATCCTCAAATTATTACTTCATAGTATAAAGAGGGTTTTTAATGACACTTCACTACCTTTAAAAAAATATTATTGCCTTCATGGCCAAAGCATGTCAAGTTTAAAGGATAACTTTCAATTGTAGATAAAGAAATTTAATCTGTAGATTAAGACACTAAGTTGACAATGTTCTTAAACAGGATAAAAGAAATACCCACATACTTAATTTCCACATCTTATACAAAATGGTGTTAGATGGACAATGGCTACCTACCATAGTTTTAGTCTAACTTTAATTATTAAGTTATTCTAATTACATAAGTGAAGTTAAATTAGCTACCATCACATTGCAATATTCTTTACCTTTTCCCTCATATTTTGTTGCAATTAGATCATCTTGAATCTTCACTCTCAATATTATAAAAAACCCATCTAAAGTTCTAAGTTACATTTATTGATTTTTATATAAAAATATATTTATTTTATTATTTATATTTAGAATTTATGATTTCCGTTTTAAAGTTCAAAAGTGAATTCTCTTCTAAGAATGTTGTTGTCATTGCATCTAATATTTGTTAATATTTGAACCTATTGACTGACTTCAGTGGCTAAAGGAATTATTGTTTTCTCTCGAGCCCTTGGATTTGAGAAGTTGCGCCTGCAGAGTGTATACGTTGTCAATAACTAAAAAGGATCATGAACAAATATCATCTTATAATCACCCCACCGATAATAAAACATATGTTAATATATATATTTGTCTATGTTGTTAGATCAAAGTATGGCAAAGGAGATGAAACTTTGGTGTGGCACACACTAGATGGCTACTCTAAAATTCATTGCAGAGTCCTGCTGTTACCAAAATGGTAGGCACCCGTCCAATGTTCAAGTCAATAATGGTTTATCAAATGTTCATTCAATTTTGTTTTTATAGTTTAATAACTTTATTCCAAGTCTTCTAAATATTTTAGTTGATAAGTTGTTTAATTTTATTCATGATTAATTTTAAGTTCATTTTATATTCATTCATATTTATGTGACATTCCAGGTAAAAAGAACAGGGTCGCCATCTCAAATACCATGTATTGTCTTTGGCACAGTAGTCAGTCTCGTAGCAATACTTATATTCGACACAATCTTAATTCTAATTAATAAAAATCATGTGACATTTTTAATCAATCCTTTGTACCTTGAGACAAATTATGATATAATTCCTATGCTAAAATTTGAAATTCAATCCTTACTTCAGTTAATTTTATCATTGTACTTTTATAATGCTAATGCTTATTCTAAATTGATAACACCATAACTTATTCTTCTTATAACATCATTACTTATTGTTGTTATAGTGACAGCATGATTAACTAATGGTAAATTTACATATCAATCTAACAATGTCAAACTAATGGTATTATCAATTGTTGCTATAGTGACCACTTCAATGACAACTAATGGTATTATCAATTTCAATCATAACTGAAGTAGGAAGATTAAATTCCAGCATACTAAAGGGATTAGAACCACAGTTAGACCTAAGTTTTGTAGTACTATTTTATTTTTTATAATTTAATTGTAAATTAAAATTATTAGATTAAGCCATTGAATGTAATTAATACTAATTTATTATATTTATACTACTATCTCAGCTTTAAACAACTAGAAGTAACTAAGAATCAAGTACAGCTAAAAGAAATATCAGCGGTTACAAAGAATCTGAACGGTGTTTCCCCCCCCCCCCCATTCCTAAGGAGGTTATGGGTAAAATTCCTCCGTGGTCTCTCCGAAAAGGAATAAAAACAGATTTACAAAGGCAAAGAGGTCCTGACAATTTACAAACGTGTCTGCTATACGAAAAGATCGGCAGCCTTCTTAACCTTAATCCAGCTAAAGAAATTATTTGGTAGAGACATCAACAGCAGCCTGAAACCGAATATCAGCAACCAGGATTGTAAAATGGAACTCCACAACATGTTTAAGCCATACCACTCACATACCAGAAGCAGAATACAAATCAATAAGAGAAGGGCTGCAGAAGCTAGAGGTTATAAAAGAAGAAATGCATCGGAGTTCAGAAATGATAGTGACAACAAAGTTTGGGACAAGTTGTTCTCCCAAGTTTTACTACGTCAATGATTCAAGAGAGAGTGGTTAAACTTGGAAGGGTCTGGTCAGTTGACTAGATCTGGTGTAAACCACGGGGATAAAGATGAATCTAGTCCATAAAAATTGTTTTACCATCCAAAACCACCTAATGATATTATATTAGAGAAGTAACTGTTTTCCTTGTTGCATACGACAAGAAAAAAATTACCAAGTATTATCGTCATGTAGAACCCCAATGGCAGTGACGACCAAAACATTCAGGATCAGCTAAAGATCAACTAAAGATAAGTCTCATTTGCGTATCTCTATTCAATTCAATGTTTTTCCCCATTTTTTTTAACCATGGGACAGGAATGGGAGTTGCTAAAGCCATATTTTCTTCAAGTAAGTGACCAAATGCATCAGCAATATCTAAAGACAAATCATTTTAGTACCCCTATTCTATTAATTAAGAAAGCATTTACCAACTAGTATATAACCCTAGAATAATAAGTTCCATTTCAATAACAGAATTACTCGGATGGCAATCAAGCACAAAAAGATACTTGAAGAGAATCAGCAACTAGTAACATTATTTAGAGGTATCATAACATCAGGCATTTCTGGACAAGAGAACACAAATAAATGAGAGAATTTAGAGAAAATATTAATGCACCATGTGCATATCATGATAGTGAACTAAAAAGTCACAATCATGGAATATATGAGTAGCATGTGACATGAATATATACAATATTCCATAATCAATACAAGAGGTGAGCGGGTTGTGGTAATTGCCACTGCAGCAGAATCTGCCCTGAACAACCACAATGAGACCAAGCTCCCCCTTCTCTCTAAAAATTTAGGCATTTTTCAAAAATTTCGTTCTCCTTCCCCTTTATTTCTTTTAGATGGCGAGTCAGGTGAGAAGATCTGTTGGGAAAAGTTGCGTTACAGTGATTATTTTCAATATTCCAGAGTGTCTTCATCATCAAGGTCTTTGGTTATTGTTTGATAAATATGGCGAGGTGGTCGATTCTTTCATCCCTATCAAAAGAAGCAAGGGAGGAAGCAGGTTTGGTTTTGTCCGCTTCTCTAAATTGGAGGACGCGAGGAGGGCTATCTTCTGTGCTGATAGATCTTGGATTCAAGGCAAAAGGTTAGAGTTTTCATGGCGAGATTTCAACCTCGTGATGTTTTCTGGAGGAAAAAGTTTACTGGTTAAAATTCAGCTTTGGTCAAGAGTAGAGAGGAGGATGTCAAAGAAGCTCCCATTATCGGTGTAGTTGACGAGGATAAACTAATTACTCTTAGAGATAGTTTGGTTGGTTGGTGCAGAAAATTTATAAAAATGAAAGAGTTAGCTGCTTTTATGCACAAGGAAGACATTTTAGGCCCGAAAATTATGAGGTTAAGTGGTTTAGCAATTCTGATCATTTTTGAAGATGAAGAGAGTAGAGACTTTGCTCTAAACAATCAGATTGGAGCGTTTAATAAATGCTTTGAAAAGGTGGAATTGTGGTCGGAAAACTTTCAGTGTAGCAGCCGATGGGTATGGTTATCGTGCAGAGGGATCCCACCTTTTGTGTGGAGCCATTCTACTTTCAGAAACATTGTTGAAAAATGGGGAACTCTTATCTCAATTGACGCAGGGACCTTATATACTGGCTCGTTTGATAGGGCCTTATTTCAGATCATTACGAACTGTAAAGTTCGAGTGGAAGAATCCTGTGTTTTGAAAGTTGGGGATCAGTCTTTTACAGTATTTGTTTCCGAGATTGAACCTTGCTTTAGCCCTGATTCCGTCTGAGAGGATTCGTCTGTATCGGAAACGGCAGTTGCTTCACCATTACCCACGGAGGGGGACCTCGATGGTGTCTCGCCAGTAAAGTCTTCCGAGTTGGCGGTATGTGCTGGAACATTTTCACGAGTTAATTATGATTCCACTAATATTAAGGAAGTTCAGCTAGAAAATCGAGCTTCTATTGATGGCACGCATACTGGGGGCGGTATGTGTGGTTCAGGTGAGGTATGGGCTGTTAAAGCTGTGTCCCCGACAGTCAGTAATGGGGTAGTTGCGCATGGGATTGATAGTCAGAAGAGTGGCACTTTTATTTCTTTGGAGGTAGTTAGGGGGGAGCAAGTGGGGTCTGAGGTGGAACTGTGTGATGCTATCGATGATAATGTGCATGGGCATAAACTGCCGATTTGTGCTAACCCGACAGTTTGTTATGGGGCATCTACGATTGGCCAGAGGAGTGGAGACCTTAACATTTTGGAGGGAGCTAGTGGGATACACATGGCCTCAGGTTTGGATGTGTGTGATTCTAGAGTTGATAATGCGCGTTCGCAAGTTGAGCAGCACACGTTTCTTGATGTTAGTGGTAGGCGTTTGTCTTCTAAAAGAAATGGTGGCTTACGGCAGTCTAAGTTTTTATTCAATTCTAAAAGGTTCTCGGAGACCAAGAATGTGGACTTGGTTAGTGGGGCAGCTGTGCAGGAGCATGTCTATCAAAGTGGTGGTAATTTTCAGGCTTTGGAAAGTGTTAGTGGGGTACACGAGGAAGTGCTTGTTCACAATAAGAGAGGGGCAGAAGAAGACAGCAGGAAAAGGTGTGAGCCTGCACGTGCTTCTGAGGAATATACTTTTCATTCCCCCATGTTGGATGGGAGTCAGAAACAAAGAGCTGTGGAGGAGAGGAATGCAATTTTTAGTTCTCTCAGAAATTTTCAAGTGAAATTTGCGGCTCAAAAAAGGAAGCCTCGTTAAAGTCGAAGCAAGAGTCCTCAGAGGAAGGTTAAGGCAGTGGATGTTTTGGAACTTTCAGGCGGTTCTTTTCTTTTTATCTGTATGAAGTTGGTAATTCGGATGGTTTCTGTCGACAAGTCGAGCAAGAAGAGGCGTTAAGGCGGAAGCTGATTCTTGTACTCTGTTCGTGTGGAAGTTCAGGATTTTGTTTTTGATTGTCTTTTATGCGGATGTTGTTTCTGGTTATTTGTTCGTGCGGAAGTTCAAGATTTTGTTTTTGATTTTGTCTTTTATGGATTGAGTCAGCTGTGATATTCGGCTTCTGGTTTGTTTTTGTGTTGGTTTTCGGGCTATGTTCAGGTGTTAAGGCTGGTCAGTCATTTTTGTGACTGTTGTTGTAGCTTAGAAGGTTTTAGCTGTGTTAGTGTTGTCGTGTAGGGTTTTTTCGGTTGTTTTTGGTTGTTTGCTTATGTTGGGGGTGGCGACCTGGTTGTATTCTTATGTTTCTTATGGTTAATGAAATCTTAAGGCACTCTTTTTCTCCTTCCGCTGATTAAGGATCTTTTTTACAAGATCCTTTAATCAAGAAAGAAGTTTTTAACGAGGCATGCAATTCCTATAAAATAAAATAAAATAAAAGAGGTGAGCATGAACAACAGATTAACAGCTGAAAGTATAGAAGTAAAACCAGACTAACAGCACTAAACTCTTAATCAAATGAAAACCTAAATAAAATAAAAATAAACTAAATCAACATAAAAATTGGATGCATACTCCCATGATATAGACTGAGCTCATAGCTCACTGTAATTGCGCCAAACTGCACGAAACTCCTCACGAAAAGTGTTAAGACGAGCCTTCAGGTTCGGTGTTCTAAAAATAGCATGAAGGAGAATGGCTAAAAAAGAGAAAGGGATTTAGATTTAATAATAACAAGCTTAAGGTGGGAGATGAGAAAAAAAGACATGAGGGTAACTTACCAAGAAGTGCCACGGCAAGTGTCCATAGCACAGTAAAGAGACCACGGGATACATACCAAAGGATGAAACTTACTGTAACAAGAATGGTAAAATAAGCCATCTTATAACCCATTCAATTGCAAATTGATTAATTCTGCTTTGATAAGAAAAAATAACATTTCTCAAACATATTGATACCAGAAGAAAATATGATGACAAAAACCCAACGAGGCTGACCACATATGTGAACTATTCTTTTAGTTGATGGACGTCCACGAATAACAGGCCTGGCAATAATGGAACAGTTAATACCTAAGAACCAAAATCAAGAATATATACTCTGCATACATTGACAGAAGTAAATAAAACTTACGTAAGGAGAGGCCTCATCTTAGCTGCTAAATGTGGATAGAATTGCCTCACAGTTCTAGTCACCTTCTCACTAAAAGTACCAGCAAAACTATATGACAAACAATTGTTAGCAACTATAAATGTGAAAACTAAATCTAACCATAGCAACCTTCAATACTAGAGCATTAGAGCTCATCCATCCATTCAAAGGTAACATTCAAAACAACAACCTGATACTTGTAACATAGATTACCTGTCATTCAGAAAAGCGATGCTTAATGCTGTTAAAATCGCAGCAATAATGGAAACCGGCTTCCTCAAGAATCCCAAACCTGCAAAATCAAAGAAATTAGAAGGAAAAAGAAAATGCATCTAGTAAAATAACTTCGAGCCTGTGTACTTACCAACAATGAGAACAATCAGAATGAAATAATTGGTTCGATAACTGCAAAAAAAAAGAGCATAAAAATCACGTGAGAAACTGAAAGAAAATAGTATTTGATCTAGGATTCGCGGAACACACTCAAGATAAAAAAAATAAAGAATTTCTTGTTTTTGGAACAATTTAATTTGTTTTCTCGGAGACTAAACAGCACCGATCAATATTCAATCTGATTCAAATTCTAAGAAAAAAGAGAGAGAAATACTAGTAGAGATTGCATTTAAAACGGCTATTCCATTTGGCCGATGATCGAGGGACGGTGAACCGGGAGAAGAATTCGGAGAGAGGTCGCGGCGGTGATGACCAGTCAACTTCACGAAGCGCGTCGATCAGATCCTTGGCGGTTACGTTTCCCCAATCCATTGAATTTGATAATGTTTGATCCTGTTTATTTCAGTCGATGTAAAACAATAATTTTGAAATGAAAATGGTGCCGAAATGGAATTTAACAAGCAAGTGAAATCGAGGTTGAAGGAGTGAGGTGTTCTTATTGGGAACCCATTGATTGTTTTGGATTCCTACTGAAAATTGCCGGAGCTAAGAAGATCCGGAGCACAAATATATGCGGGGGGCAAATAGAAAGAATTGATTCTTATAGCGGAGAGAGTATGTTATATAATGTAAAATTATTTTAAGGGTAAAGTATAATAATGGTCACTTAACTTTTCTAAAGTTTTCATTTAGGTCTCTGAACTTTTAAAACTTGTAATACAGTACTCTAACGTTTAGTCCGTTTGCAATATGGTCCCCGACATAACCGACCGTTTGACGTCATTACACTACCGTTAGTACGTTTGCAATACGGTCACTGAACTTTTCAGGCACTTGCATTTAGGTCCCCCAACTTTTAAAACTTGCAACACAGTCCTCAATTTTATTATGAACCCTGAATTCCTTTTTAATCTCGAATTTCCATTTTCAGCGTAACTTTTCAGTTGGGGATATATGTAAAATTTTAATCTAACTTTGAATTATGTGGAGGTGTTGACTTGAATAAGGGTCCATTGAGAGAAGACCCGACCAAGGGACTATCAGGACCATCAACGATTCAAGGTGTAATGTTAGATACAGATCATCTCAGGTGAAGCATAGATGTTCAATGAAATGCTTGTGAGAAAAAAATGGGGTTAGAAATGAAGAGTTGACAAGTACTACTAAGATGAACTAAGTATCATTGTTGAAAGTGACCAACAAAACTGAAATTATTTTTTATAAATGACATATAATAATTTCTTCGTTTAATCCTTGTGGTTAAAGATTTTCCAACAGATGGTCAAAATTAATGAAATCACAAACAACACATTCACCTCGCAATCTCTTTCGCTCACATGCACTATCGTTTGATTTTTATTCTTCAATTTTCTGCCATGTAAAATTGTAAACCCAAGCAGTGCTTTGTCTTTCAGCTTTTTATTTACAAAGAAAAAATGGAGGAAGAATTGTTGTAACACAACACCGATTGCGTTTATTTCTTATCCTCTCCCCTCACTTGCAAGAAGGTATTTATTTTCTCTTTTGGGCTATCCGGAAGTAAGCTTTTCCTCTTTCGCACTTTCCCAATTTCAGCTCGCATTGTGTGTTTTTTGTTGAAATTTTTATGTTTCTGGAACTGCATGTCAATGATCTTGATATTCAGTGTTAGTTTTGAACCAAAACGATCTAATTTTCTTTCTTTCTTCTTAAACAAAACTTTTAGTACTCTTTATGAAATATATTCAGTCCATCAGAATAGAAGTGAAAGAGGGTCATAGGCTAAATTTTTTTGATATTCTTGTTTGGTTTTTCTTTAAATTAGGGAATTGGTTGTGAGTATCGACATAGTGAAATCGTCAGGCTCAATCCGAGAGACTGCTGGTACTAGTTTACTAGGAATTGTATTGATCTGACCTATGGTTTTCGGCGTCCTGTGAGCTCGTATTCTTTTTAATAAGTTCATGTTGATTATGAGACTGATATATCGTGAATGAATTGGATTTTTGTACATGTTTTGGAAATTTTACAGTTGAATTGTTTTGAATTATAGCTTTAGAAGACAATTCTGCATGCACTCAACTCGATAGGCGTCATGACAGGGTAGTATATTTGGAGCAGCTACTTGACCCTGTCAAGATGCCTTTCGAGTTACGAAAGAGACTAAGAGGTGAATGTGTTGTTTGAGATTTCATTATATTTGATCATCTGTTGGAAAATCTTTAACCGCAAGGATTAAATGAAGAAATTATTATATGCCATTTATACAAAATAATTCCAGCTTTGTTGGTGACTTTCAACAAAGATACTTATTTCATCTTAGTAGTATTTGTCAACTCTGCATATCTAACCCCATTTATTTCTCAGAAGCATTTCATCGAACATCTATGCTTCACCTGAGATGACTTGTATCTAACATTATACCTTGAATCGTTGATGGTCCCGATAGTCCCTTGGTCGGGTCTTCTCTCAATGGACTCTCATTCAAGTCAACACCTCCACATAATTCAAAATTAAATTAGAATTTCCCATGCATCCTCGACTGAAAAGTTACGTTGGAAATGAGAAAAAAGAAACGAAAAAGGAAATTCAAGATCGAAAATGAATTTGGGGTTTAGAATGAAATTGCGGATTGTGTTGCAAGTTTTAAAAGTTAGGAGACCTAAATGCAAGCGCCTGAAAAGTTCAGTGACCATATTGCAAACGTACTAACGGCAGTATAACGGCGTCAAACAGCCGGTTACGTCGGAGACCATATTGCAAACAGACTAAATGTTGGAGGATTGTATTGCAAAATTTAAAAGTTGGGGGACCTAAATGAAAGCTTTAGAAAAGTTCAGTGATCATTACTATAGTTTACCCTTATTTTAATTTTATATATATTTATGATATTTAGACGAGAAAAAATATATGTATGAGATGAATAGTATGAAATGAGAAGATATTTACTAAAAAGAAAAAAGACATCAATCTCACACATCTACTTTTACTCATCCAATGATCCTAAATCTGTATAAAATTAAAGAGATTTGCATTGTATAAGTAGATCCTAACCCTTTATATATATATGAGATGGATATTGTTACACAATGTAAAAACTCTTTTAGTTTTACACAAATTTAAGGTCGTTTGATGAGTGAAAATAGATTGTTGAGATTAACAATATGAAATGAGAAGATATTCACTGGAAACAAAACAAGAAGTTAGTCTCAATCATCTATTTTCATTCATCCAACAATCTTAAATCTGTGTAAAACTAAAGAGTTTTACATTGTGTAAATAAATTATATATATATATATATGTCCCTATAAAATAATCACACAAATACCATACAAAGAAAATATTAAAAAAAACTATATTAAAAATTCAATAAAAAATAGATACAAACAAATTTGGTCGTATGAACTATAAAAGGAGATCGAGCAACTGAAAGGCAACTGACAAACAAAAAATCAGAGTCGAGCGACGTGGAAAAACTATCAACGAACGTGTATTTGAGATGATTCTATGAACAAACAAATAAACGTTATATTGATAAGTCATTGCAATGTCATATTCATCCTTAAAAATTAAATAAAAATAACGATCAAATGATCGAAAATATATCAAACTATAAAAAAAAGCTACGAAGACATAGAAAGTCGTACCACAAAAATATTAAAAACTAAAAAAGCAAAAAAGTATAAGAAAAGAAAGAAAAAAAAAAGAAATACCAAAAATGGTAATCAACAACAAGATTAATATAACCGTCTATCAACCAAAAATAAAAGAAATCATTAACCAAATTAATAATTGATGTGACATACACATATCAACTGTAATTAAATCAATATGTCATAAATTTAAACTGAATAAAATATAAAATATTTTTCTGAATATAAAACACCGGATTCATTTATAATATAAAATAAAACTAAAATGAAGAAAATTAGTATGTCATAAATTTAAACTGAATAAAATATAAAATATTTTTCTGAATATAAAACACCGGATTCATTTATAATATAAAATAAAACTAAAATGAAGAGAAAAAAATAAAAGAAAAACTTAAATTCCTAAATTCGATCGTTCTTTTCCTGGACTCCCTAAACTGAGACAATTCTATGAAGCCTACGTTATGAGATGTTAATAAGATAAATAGATCCTTTAATCGTTGTATTTGAGACCGATCATGATGGGTCGATCCATCGCCTATCTTCCAACGTCTAGTTCGCGGCTCGTTCTGGAAATTCCTCCACTCAAAACACATCTTCGTTTCCTAAGATCGAGCATGTGACCAGGAGGTGTGCTACCTTGTTTCCTCCTCAAGGGATAAATCTATATTCACATGCAGCAAGCTGTTGTGCTCAGTATCGCGCTTCTCAAATTAGAGCACTTATTTTGAAGCGATATAAAATAATTTTAAAATATTATGAGAACATATTTATGATGACATAATTAGTGGGATAATGCTGACGGGCCATTTAATTAGTCAAATAGGATAACTTGCTTTTTATTTTAAAAATTACGATATTTATTATAATAGATCTGAAAGTCATCACGTCGACGTAACGAGTTTTAGAAGATTATTTATTTTTATTAATAATATTTTTTTATTACCATAAAAATATAATTTTTTTATTAAGACTCGTCATACTTACATGATAATTCCTTAAATATATCTTAAATATATTTCACCTGCGGGACTAATGTCCCAGGGACCATCAAAAAATAACATCACTGTAACTCATCAGGCAAGCGAGATGACTTCTAGGTCCATTCTTGCAAATGTCATAGTTTTCAAAATAAAAAAAAAAACAAATTACCCAATTAGGTTAATTAAACGACCCACCAGCATTATTCCACTAATTCTGCCTATTTATGATATTGATTAATTATAAATATATTTTGTAATATTATAATTATATGCCTCGTGAACACGTTTTGAGAGTCAATATTGGCAACTTATACATCATCACCTACACCTAAAGTTGTTCACTAATCCACCCAACTAAAACTTGCCATTTCATTATTAGGAGTGTTAAAATTTGGGAATTTGCATTTTCGGTTACCTAAAATTTTGCATATAGAGGATTTACGAGTACTGAAATATCAATTCATGTTTTGACTCATTAAGTTTGGGTACTCGTAAGTTTGGTATTTGTAAAATTTAAATACTCGTATTTTCATATCATAGGTACCGACGAGTTAATGGATCGAGTCATCTGAATCAGATATTTTTGAACACTCCTACTCACTGCTCACACTATATATTAAAAGGGTAAATTACAAATTTATTCATTGAAATTTACAAATTTATTCATTGAAATTTACTCTCTCTCCTACTATACTCATTGTGTTTTCAATTTTTTTAATTTATTCAGTGAACTTTGATATTGCTCTTGTTTTGCTCACTCCACCGTTAAATAATTAACAACATTATGACATGATACATGACATCAAACGATGTCGTTTTGAAAAAAATAAATTTCCATCGAAATAAATAAATTTAGGATTAGGGTTTAGAGAAAACATTAAAAATTTTATTTTTTATTTTAAATATTATACGTCATAATTAAATATTAATAAAAAATACAATCATCTTTATATATTACTAAATTAAGCCATTCCATTTAGCTGTTAGAGAGAAAACGATCTAGTTATCAAAAAAATCAATTTATATAATTCAGTAAGTAAATTAAAAAAAATGAAAATACTGTGAGTCAAATATGAGATATAATAAAATTTAATGAGTAAATTTATAATTTAGCCATATTAAGATTATGCACTCCGTCTAATACCGCTTGTAGCTTGTGTTTTTTTTCTTTCGAAAACAATGAAAATCACAAACGTTAATCCTCGATTACGTTGGCTAACCCCAAAATTAAAATCTCAATAATTCAACTGATAATAATTAAGATGTAAAAAATTTAAAAATCCATTAATCAATAATATCCCATCTCCCCCTCCTCCCCCTCTACTCATCAGATTATTTATCTTCGCACGGCCAATCGGAAAATCCAATTAAAATACGGGTCGAAACTTCCGAAGATCAACATTCAGAATTCGATACCATTTTCATTTTTAAAGCTTAAAATTCTGGCGTCGGATCGTAGGGATTTTCTTTCCCTCCTTTTATTCCAGGTTTGTTGTAATGGCTCAAGCAACAGGGAGGGGAAGAGTGGTGGGGAATTATTTAGTGGGTCGGCAAATCGGGTCGGGTTCATTCTCGATTGTTTGGCATGCTAGGCATCGAGTTCATGGGACCGAGGTGGCGATAAAGGAGATAGCAATGGGTCGACTCAATAAGAAATTGCAGGATAGTTTGATGTCGGAGATATTTATTTTGAAGAGAATTAATCATCCTAATATTATTCGACTGCATGATATTATTGAGGTTCGCTTCTTCTTGTTCTTTTTTTATTATTTAATTGGTTCGTTGTGCTATTTGTTTTCTAGGAGTTGTTTGGATGCCCAGAAAGTAGAGGAATGAGTGGAAGAAGCGGATATTTGAAATTATTTTTAGAAATTGAGCTATTTAATTGTATGGTAGGGACTAAAATTTTAGGTGTCAATTATTGAGTGAAAGTTCTTTTATGGAAAATGATAAAAGAACGGAGAATTCGGATACATTTTTGTGTGTGTGAAGATATCTTAAGATACGGTATTCAAAATGAGACGAATCTAATTTTGATTGAAAAAGGAGTTATTTGGCCGTACTTGTAGTTGATAGAAGCAGATAACGAATGAAATAACTAATGGTGGAATTTTCAGTCTATCCATTTAATGTGTTTACTTAAGCCTCTATTAAGTGGAGAGCTGCTATTTGGAAGACCAAATATGAGATGGAATTTCATTGTGTTTTCCGTTCACTCCACAACAACTAATAATAATGGAGAAGCTTCAACGATCATTGAAAAAATGGTAAATTTGCAGTGGTCAATGGAAACTAAATTAAAAAGCTATTTGTCATGTATTTGTTTGTGAAGCTTCGGCTTTTATATCTGTCTAAAATAGTTGCATTCTGCTGAAGTAGTTATATGCCGTGCCCTTCATTCCATGGACTGCTTAGAGTGGAGTAATGGTTTTTGTAGTAGAAATTTCGCTCAGAGTTGGATAGGCATTTTGTTATTGCTCATTAGATCCTTTGTAAGTTTGAGGTCAACTGGAAAATGGCACTTGTAATATACTTTTGAATCTTTGATTTGACGTTAAAGTTGTTGGAGATAATGTTGATATAACATTTCCTTCTTTTTTTTACTTGTAATTGTTATAAGTGCCACCATATGGTATTTTCTCAATCATTTGTTTGGTTTAAATAGGTTCCTGGAAAGATACACCTTGTATTGGAGTACTGCAAGGGGGGTGACCTTTCTATGTTTATTACACGCCATGGAAGTGCCCCTGAGGCAATTGCAAAGCATTTCATGCAGCAGCTAGGTATGCTGCAGACCTTGTCTGGCTGTTTATTTTACTTAACCACTGAAATCCGGTCACTTATACTTCTATAATTATCTTCTTGTAGCGGCTGGCTTGCAAGTTCTCCGTGACAATAATCTTATACATCGGGATCTAAAGCCTCAGGTATAATTCATTCTGTGGTTCAAGTTGAATTTTGATATAACTTTATGTCTACTGATGCCTATTAAGGATTAGGGCAAGCCTGTTCAAATAAATACTATTTCCTTTCTGTTACTGTAATCAAATAGGAATTAGATGCAAGAGATTATACCTTTTCCCCCTCTAAATTGGGTTTGCTTTTGATCCTTATCATGGAATGTGTTGAAGTTGCGTAAATTTCCTTTGGCATAGACTAGCCTTGTCCGTGTTGGAAAGTTTTCTTTCAATATGTTCTCTTTGTAATGTTGTTGTTTCTGAAACAGAATCTTCTTCTCTCAACAAATGACAGCAGTGCAGCTTTAAAGATTGCAGATTTTGGATTTGCAAGGTAAATGATCTCATTAACCCATCAACTTATGGGGTGTTTTCTCCCCACGTCTAATTTTCCATCATTTTTAAGGAATCTTTGCTATGAAAATGTACCCTTCAATCCTCCTAGCCATATGAACTAACCTAGGATGTTAAATTTCGCTACATGTGCAACATTGCAAGTAAATTGTTAGGTTGTTGGTTCTACAAATTGAGACCACCCATCTTCTTTGATTGTCAGTTTTATTCGCTTATCTAGCTTTAGATGTCCTGGAAATGGTTTCTATTTTCAAATTTGAAAGAGAGGTAATCTTAGGATGTAACAACTTTGTGATTTGTGCTTAATATAGTGAAGAACGAAAACCGAGGCTTCAAAACATGATATGTGTACTAAATTTAGATTTTCCCCCTCATTCTTGTAACATTTTGTATCTTTAATCCTTTATGCAATTAAAATGAAGTTCATTTGCTTATATAACCCTTAAGTATGGACAGGGGAAAGAAGATGACAAAGATTTTAATTTAGTGTGGAAATAATTGCTGAAAAAATGTGGAAGCAAATGATCCAGTGTAATTGGTATAAGTCAGTGAAGTTATTCACACTTATTATCTTTAATCATTTATGCAATTAAAATCAGGTTCATTTGCTTATATAACCCTGAAGTATGCAGGGGAAAGAAGATGATAAAGATTTTAATTTAGTGGAAACTGTGATGTGGAAATAATTTTTTCTAATGATTTTTTCATGCATAGTCAATTATTACAACATATCACTGTTGTTCTGTTAGATCTCTGCAACCTAGGGGGCTTGCTGAAACATTATGTGGTTCACCTCTTTACATGGCTCCTGAGATTATGCAACTGCAGAAGTATGATGTAAAGGTGATAGTTACTCCCCTCCTACGGCTCCTCTTCCCTCTTCTTGTTCATTCCTGAAATTATTGCCTGTTAATTTTGACTTTAATACGCAGGCAGATCTTTGGAGTGTTGGGGCTATTTTATTTCAGCTTGTTACTGGGAAAACTCCTTTCACTGGAAACAATCAAATTCAGGTTTAATGAACTTTCTGTTTGTATAAAGTAGTCCCCGGGTTTCTCAAAAGTTCCAAGTTTAGACTTGCAATTGATCACCTGAGTTGAACTGATGATTCTTTTGGTGCATTTACAGTTTTGTTGATCTATTTTTTGTATCTTGTCTTATGCAGTTACTCCAGAATATTATGAAATCAACTGAGTTGTTTTTCCCTGTGGAAAACAATTATTTGACTGCTGATTGCAAAGATTTATGTGTAAGACTGCTGCGCCGTAATCCAGGTATTTCACAAATGTAGATATTAAATACAAATCTCTGACATGTACAATTGAATTATCTGCTGACATATTAGAGAACATAACCTCAATTTCACTATTATGTGCTTACTTAATTCTAGGATGGGAGGGATCCAAAATTAGAGTGATTGGAAGAACACTTTAATTCATAGGCTTCAACCTCAACTAGAATTGTGTAGTTTATACCTACAGTTCTTATCCTTTTGGCTTGCAATTTTGCACAAATGCCTTTATCAACCTATTTGTTAATTCAGCTTACAACTTACAAGAATTATTCTAATCTAAGTAACAGCCTCTAGATGCTTAGATCTAGTAAAAAGGATGCTCCTAAGATAAAGCTTTAGCTGATCTGTGAAGATATGGAGCAAAGAGTACCATAAGTCATGTTTCATTCAGTAATGCTATCAGAATAAACTGTGCTGAGCAATTCTTATTTATATGCTTTTCCTCATTCATGGTGTGCCCTTTATCCTTGTATTTGCAGTGGAACGTTTAACATTTGAAGAGTTCTTCAATCACCCATTTCTTTCTCGGGGCCAATCAAATGAACCATTGAGGTATATGAGGAAATGATTGCTCTCATCAACTTGTCTTGATGTACATTATCCTTCAGTTCCCTAAATAATGATCCATTCCGGTATTTTCAGGAGGCAGGGAATTTCAAGGACTGGTTATTCTTCTTTCGAAAGCAGTCCTGTAAGGAATACTGATGAAAGCTTTCAGGAGGACTGTCTTCCTTTCTTTTTGGATGACGATTCCAGTGGTCCTGAAGGGAGCCCTTCCTTTGGAAAGAAGAGGTCTTCAATGAAATCTCGTCATGGGTTTTCTCCCGAAACAAGAGATACTAGAGAACAATCTTCTAATCCTTTAAATAAAGTGGATTTTACATCCAGATACAGTGGTACAAGACATAAATTGGACAATGTTAATTTTAGACATGAAAGCAGCAAGGTTTCAGGTGAAACTATATTTGAACCTCCCAAATCCATGGAGCATGGTCATTCAAGAGGTACCAACAATATTATATGTTGCATTTTACAAAGGATATTGGTCCCTATATGTCACTCTTGCATGAGAAATTGTCATACTTTGAATAAAATTTCATACTCTTGCATTGCTTCCACAGTTGGTGATACACTGGAGTTGATTGACCAAGATTATGTTCTTGTAACTGGACCTCCCATTGATGTGTCATCTTCTTCAGCTAGCACTTCCAAGCCAAACCATATTCCATACAAACAAGAGAATCCACCTCTGATCCCCTTTACGAGTAACACCACATCAACAGCTCCTGTGCCTATTGTTGGGGCAACCAATATTAACGTCTATCATGTTGGAAGCTTGGAAAGTCAGAGCTCTGCCCCTGGGACTTCTCCAGGATCCATGAATATTGGGGATGCTCTGGAACAGCCGTCATCACATTGCATGACAAGGATAAAGTCATTACAGCAGTGCGCATCTGCAATTACAGAATTACTGCATGAAAAGGTTAGTCCATAATAAACCTACTATGAGTGTTATGCATAGTAGAGTATCATACTAGTTCTCTCTTTTCCCCAGCATCTTCTCCCATGCTTGCATGTTTGGCTGCCATTTTACCAATAAACGTCTCATTTGTACGCATCTTGGTATGCTGGAACATTTGTTTGGCTCTCTTGAATGGGTCTTTCCATGATCTGTTAATATATGTTGATGATCATATTTGCTTACCCAATGAGTGATCTCACTGAAACTTGCTAGATTGTAGTATGAGGCAAATGTTTTGGTGTCGAAGTTGCCAGTGTAAACAGCTTCAACATTTAGATTTTTTACCTACTGCTCTTTTCTGCTGCTCCATATTTGACTTTTGGGTCTGTAAGGTTCTTGCAATAGTAAATATTTAAATGATATGACTCAATGCCACTCCTAATTATAATTGATGTTGCTTGTGGAGCAGATTTTGCTTGCTAGACTCTCTTGGTATTTTCTTTGCTACCATGAGGTTTATTGAGGATGTTTTATATTGTAACATTATCATGGTTCTTTGATAGACCGAGACAGGTAGGCATCTCGAAGCATTCTCAATCCAGCTTGTGATTCTTGCAATTTGGAAGCAAGCATTGCATATATGCCATACACAGGCTGCATCAGCCATGGAAGGAAGTCCAAGCCAAGAGACAAGCAGATTGTGGAGTGCCAGCAAGAAGCATGGAACATCTGATACGGAAGTATGTCCAGAATATGTATCCTCAGAGATAGAGAGGAAATTTCTCCGGGAAGTTGAGAATGCCGAGGAACTTGCCAAGGCTATTGAGCCTGGTATGGCTTTGATAATTATTACTCCCTGTATCAATATTTGTTGCCCCACTTTTGAAATTGCCCGAGAGCCATTTCTGTCATTGCTGATGTGTATGAAACCAAAGTCATGCCGTTTCTATTCATTGTAAAAAGTTTAATATTCTAAATAGCATTTTATCATCACGCTTGCAGGAAGTAGAGAGATGCCTGATGCGATGGAGACAATATTTCAGGCCGCGCTTGCTTTGGGAAGACGTGGAGGAGTGAGTCTTTTCCTTCTAACCTTCATATCATTCAGTAGCCTAAATCGTAATTATCTGTCAATCTAATTGACTATGCATTGTCTTGTCCCATTCAAATGAGGTGAAAAGAACTAGAGATAGGACGATAGATCGAGCAAATATCTTTTATAAAATGAAGTTACATATTTTATTCATCAGGAAAGTTAACAATTGAAGGAAACCTACCTGCTGAAAATTGTCCTGCATATATCTTTGCAGGTTGATGAGCTCATGGGTGAAATGGAAAGTGCAGCAAATTTGTATTCAAAGGCAGTGTGTTTATTAGTCTTCCTTCTAGTTGAAGCACCATCCCTCATTTTGAATCCTCCATTTTCCCTCACAAACTCAGACCGGTATAGACTTCGAACTTACATTGATTTTCTTAGAAACAGGCAAGGTTAATATCTCAGAGGATGGCACTTCTCAAGAACAAGCATCCGCCATAGAGTCTAAGGGTGCTTTTGGTTCACGGAATGTAAGATTACCAGGGAATAGGATTACTGAGAATGTTGTATTTTGTATTTTGTTGGTTTAGCAGGAATGTAACATTACCGTGTTTAGTTAAAGGAATAAAAGATTATTAGAATATATATTAGACCAAATTGTTCTTAGTATATATTTATTTTTTAACAAGTTGAAAAATATTTATATATTTTCTTTAAAAAATTTAAATTCATAAAATTCATATAATTTTTTTTTACAAAATTGAAAATATAAAAAGGTTTAATGAAAAGATAAAATTTTATTTTAACCTTTGAACTTCATCTAAAATTTTAATTATAGATTTTTTTTTGTAATCTAAAATAATTTAAGGATAAATTTGTAATTTAACATTTGTAGAATTTTTATTATTCAACGATAAAAAAATAATATTTTTTTTTTAAAAAAATAAGGGTATTTTGGTCCAAAATACCGGTAATCCAACAATACCTAAGGGATGTAATGACATTCTTAATAATATATCCAAAAAATTTCACTATTGATAATCTTACATTATCGAGAATAAAATTCTCGACTAACCAAACGGGAGAATATGACATTCCCCCTCCAAATGCCCCCCTAAACTTTATTTTTTAGTGATCCTAACAGCTTTCTATGTGGCATTAAAAATATTTATTTGTACAGTTATTCTTTGATAAAAGGGGAGCTGAGGTGTTAACGGGTCAATTGTATCCCGTTTGGATGTTGTAATATTCTCATTTCTGCGATTAAAAATATGGAATCTTTAGATGTGCTATTGTTTTCTATTTGGTACTTTTTTTCTCCTGCTAATATGCTGAAAGAAGCAAAAGTGAGAATGATGAATTTGACTGACAATTATTTGAATCCAAATCTTATCTTTTAAGGAAAAAGGAGAGCAAAATTCTCTTAATAATCGTTTATTAGGTTCTAATGTTAATTATTTTTAAATATAAATATAATTAAATTTTAAGTATTCTGGTTATTTCAATAGATTTGATTCTATAAAAGTCCACGTAAAAGGATCAAGAAATACAAACGTATTACAAAATTCTCTTAAGCACAAACCAGCCGCTGCCACCGTCATGATAGGAGATAGGAGGGAAGAGGAAGATGAGGAGACACCGTGACCAAAGGACTAAGGCACCCGCACTTGATCATTGGCATGCCATCCTCCACTGAGGACAAACTGTAACAAAGCCCAAAGCAAAAAGTGTCAAAAACCATCACAGTACAATACCAACAAAAAACATCGTCAGTGAGGAACCATAGCCGTCTACAAGTGGCCACCAGCCATACGAGGTAGCAGAAATGATGCAAAGAGTCCAAAAGTCCCACAAAATTCAAGCCAACAAGATTCTGGAGTGAAGATGGTGCTAATACAACATGGCCCAAGTGAACTTTGCTGAAGAGGAAACATCACAAGCAAATATAACCATCAACGGTGGTCGCACCGTCGACAAAAGACAACTGTGGAGAAGCCCACTGGCTGACCATAGATAAAAACTGAAAAGAGGTTGGCTTCTGCACTGGGCAAAAGGTTGATGCCCTCAACCAACAGTCATTTTCCATATAACAAAGCTTTTTGGTCAATAACCATCATTTGTAATTTAATATCGCTTCAAATACAAAAGAATTGAACAATGGCAGCGAGTCTGACCTGAATGGAGGCAGGTTACAAACAAGTGCTAATTCTATGGACGCTAAGACCTAAGCATGTTGGAGCTACACAATGATGTACTTCTAGTCATGGCAACAAAAGCAAAATTTACCAACAGGGTTTCTCAGATAACAGAACCACAGAAGAACATCTTGACCAAATTCAACCGACTTCTTTCCCTTTTTCACCCTAATTTCCTTTAACCCTACCAGAAAGTGGAATCTGTGATGATGCTAATAACTTGTAGGATTCCTTGATAGAAACATCTTCAAAGTCACGTGGGTCATGAAGATTATGCCTACACCAGGAACCACCTTGTAGTACTCGGGCAGAATCCCTCTGTACAAGCCACGAAGGCCTTCAGACTGGATTATTTGCCTGAAAGTCCCGAACAACCCAGTTTTGTAAACACAGGCTCGTCCAGCAGCCCCTTCCAGTTGCATATGTCTCCTCACAAGATCGACAGGAAATGTAGCTGCAATTCATCCATGAAGAAAAGGGAAGTCGCGCAGAGATCAGAAGCAGCTTCTAAATAATTGAGAGTCAAACAAAAGGGCAGGGTTGCATATTATTAACCTGTTGATTATGCAATGCCCGAGAGACTGCCACAGGCAAGGCTAACCATGAGTTTGGAATCACTGGGCCTGATGTGAAGTGAAAATTTTCAAAACGGTTTACAACTTAAAGGCACCAAGCAGAGAACAGAAAAAAGGTGTTTTCAATAAATCTATACCAATAAGAACTTTTACCTTTGCAACTGCCAAAAAGATCTAAAGGACTCGTAAACTGAAAAGCTTATTGCCAAACTTGGTCCAACACCCTGCATCAAATATAACATTGCATGAGCAGTTACAGACAATGTGATAGGAAAATAAAGAATTCAAGAAGAACAATTCATATACCAATAGTGTTGCTCTAAGTCCTTTATACAAGCCCAAAAATCCCTCTTCCCTGAAAATAGTATGGAAAGCATGCCAAATGCCTCTATAGTATATTGAATTTCTCTGCAAAGTTCAGAAGAATGGTTGAAATGAGAGTAAGAACAAAAACAGTAAAATTGTATGGATAAATGTGGAGCAGTAGACTACATGTGAACCGTGTTTGAAGGGTATGCAATGCAATTTCATTATTCACCCAGGTATTACTGAAATTACCTGTGCTGCAAGTTGTGTCCTTACAATATCCTAAGGTTATGCAGCCGAGGCAGCTGTCATTCCAGCTAACCCACCACCCACAAAGTGCACACCAAGATCATAACTAGCATTTTTCCCTTCATTTTCCAGACCAAGAATCGACTACAACAACTGCAAAAAGAAATGAAAGAATGAAATGAAAATTCCTATTGGGAACTAGAAAACAAAGCCATGCCATAAAGAAAGAGCATACATTCTTGTAGTGTTCATGGGCATAGAAGCTGACAGCAGAATACGGAAGTCAATGAGCAATAGTAACCAGACTGCCTTTCCAAAATGCTCTGAAACCTTCTTCATTAATTATTTGTGAAGCCTCCCGCCATATGCTAGCCTTGCTCAATGATGATACATCCGGGTGCATTCCTTGCACCTGAAAAATATGTGATCATCATTCAACAGTTAAGGTAGAACGTATTTGCATGCTTAATATGACAGCCGGCAGTATTAAACTGGGGACCGGCATTCTGAAAATATATAATTCAAAATCATTAACGTGCAACTACAACTATATTATTTCATGCTCGATGTGACCTAAATGCCTATATAATTATACTATACACCTATACACGTGGATTAGGCTGATTTTAAATAGGATCAAGTCAATTCAATTTTTAAAAATTTTCAGGTTCAGGTCATACAAATTTACTATTTGGATTTTTTCACCGCAAGTTGTTTTAAGTCATTTCGTTACTTTTTCACATTCGATTTGTGTTGTTTTTCCCTATCAAATTGAGTTGGAGCTAGTTTGAAATCGCGTTAAACGGGTCAAATTTTGGGATTGGGATTAAAATTGTCAGGTCTTCCCACAACTTTTTTTTTGAAAGAGGGTATTTTGTATTATGATCGTAACAAAGTATACCACCTCAAGAACCTCATTAAAAAACCTCCCTATCCCTACATGGAAGAAAAAGAGTGAACCTTGAGGTGGAGAGGAACTAATACAAGTATAGCTCTTACATCGAACAAAACATTCCCCAAACTACAACCGAACTCATACTAACACCAGAATAAGAACGCAATCTTGCTCGCCATCAATCCAAGGTCGAAAAGAACAGCTAGAAAGCAAACACCTCGGCGATGAAATGAACCGACTTGCAATAACGCCCAGAATATTCAAACCTACTAAAATACGGGGCATCAAACACTACTTTAACCCAAACTTTATCAATCTGCAATCCAACTCAATAACAATCCACTCCCAATATCATACCAACACCAATACAAAAAAAAAGCATGTATAGGGAATTATAACAAACCGCAAAAACTCAGCAGCAAGTTGAAACGTCAACTCATCAACAAAACCATAATCATCGGATGTAAACAACCTCTCCAAAGGGGAATAAACAAAGACCAGCAGTAGCCTTTCGAACGAAACCAGGAAAAAAAACACAGCAACTACACTGGATAGAATCTTAAAAAATCTACCTGCACTAAAAATCCTCCGAAGAAATATGTTCAGTGCTATTATATAGATAAAGAATGTGGAACTAAAGCTAGAGCTGCATTCTGCCTTGTTTACAGCTATAAGAGGAACTAATCCATTCAAAAGAACCCAACTAGATTGATTAAACATGAAGTTACTCACACCCAAAGCCAAGAATGATTAACTGAGGAGTACGCAAAAAATCTTGGACAACCGGAATCAACGTTGGCCATAAAGCGCTCACCCAAACCCCAATCTGGAACAAACATGTATTAAAATTTTGATCAACAGTAAATGCAATACCCTTGAACCTAACTTTGTTTCTACAGAGCCAAATATTCCAGATCGGGCCAAAACCCAAAACCCATAATTCCCGAACTTTTCTTCTGATTTTCTGCTGTGTCCATACGTCAAGCAACCCTTTAACCTTCCTAGGGAATACTAGATGAACCTTCCATACACTACACCAGCGTTGCCAAACTTTCCACACCACATCACAATGGCACAAAACGTGATCTACTGTTTCCAGATCTTGATTGCAAAAAACACAAAGAGACTGAGCATTGCAGTGTATACCTCTCTTTTCCAGCTCTATGATGACCGGCAATCTTTGTTGAACCGCTCTCCAAATAAAAGCTGCAACTTTTGGAGGAGCGTATTTGTTCCACACGAATTTCCAAATAGGGTCTTCCACCTTATCTACTTAAGCTAATTTAGTGCAGAAGGATTTAGCATTGTACGAG